AACTTTTCCATAACGCTGTAGCCATGCCCGTTCTCAGGCTTCTCTCGGCTATAAGGATACATTATATAAGCACAAGTCATAAGAACATCGTTGGAGTCATTGGGATAACTGCCACTCGACTGTCAAGTTAAGCAAAGCCTAGCATGGTCAGCACATGGAAGGGTGACCGCTTGGAATCGAAGCTATTGACGGATGCAAGACGCGAGAAAATAAGGAGTAAATTTTTTACATAACAATAATATTACAGTTATATAACATTTTAGTAACATGTGATATTTCTGTTATATAACTGCAACTTTCTATGAGTGGGAAATTACAACTAACATGTATATTGCTTGTAACGTATACGTTATATTACGTGTTATATTTAGTTACATTATGACAATGTATCTGTTACGTAACTGTGTTTACTGGGATATACAGGGTATCTATAAAGTTCGACCCCACCCTTGGATCTCGGAAACGGTTTTAAATATTGAAAATTGTTTCAGACAAAAGTTGTAGGATATTGAGAGGGGCACATGATAAAAATATGGACTTGACCTTGAGTCACTTTATCAAGGCCAGGTCAATGTGATCGGTATTTTCTTAAATGGAACCTTTTATTTTTTATTGCATATTCTTATATCCCTTGTCGAGACGTTTTCAAAACACTATTCTTGTTTTTTTGCGCAAGCCATTCCCAAGATATAAAGCTTCAAAGTTGACATACTGCCGGCATTCGCATTACCCAAGGTGTATCGCGTGGAAGTTGCACGGTCGGATTTATGTCTCTTGTGTGTATATGTGTATGTGTGTGTGTGTGTGTGTGTGCGCGTGTGTGTGCGTACGTGTGTGCGCGCGCACATGCGCGCATGTGTGTGTGTGTGTGTGTGTGTGTGTGTGTGTGCGTGCGTGCGTGCTTGCGTGTGTGTGTGCGTGCGTGCTTGCGTGTGTGTGTGCGTGTATGTATCATAGTAGAGATAAGGACCTCACGGTTCGTCACTCCCGTCACTCCCGTAGTATTTTTTTACTCCAAACCCTCTTCACTGTGTGTGTGCGTGTATGTGGCCCTAAAAATGATCAACTTTGTGTGTGTTTCTTTAGTCAAAATCCCCCCCTCTCTCTCTCTCTCTCTCACTGTCTCTCTTCATCATTCTTCTTCTCCTTCCCCTTATATTAGTTATTTTCTTGCCGTTCACGCACACGCACGCACGCACGCACGCACGCACGCACGCACGCACGCACGCACGCACGCACGCACGAAGACAAAAGAGGTATAAATCTGTTAGAGCACCTCCACGTGGTACACCTTGGGTAATGCCGACGGTGCTGTTTCTAGTCTTGTGTAACTCTGAAGAAAATACTGAATAAAAAAATACTTAATTATAGTGTTTTGGAAAGCTCTCGAGCTGAGCTATAACAATATGTTCTGAAAAATAGGGGTTTTCGTTTAAAATTTTTGTTAACTTTCGAATGATCTTCAAGATTTGACCCCAAGGTCAAGATGAAGGTCATCATCAGATGACCCTCTCTGAACCCTACAACTTTCGTCTGAAACATTTTTCTCTATGACCGATCCCTGCAATGATAATCGAGGTGCACTATTAAAATAACACACCCTGTATATAGATGGGTAGACTGAGAATGAATAATGCTAACATTTCTTCCATATAATGAGTTTGATAAATTAATAATTAATTATTATTAATTATTATTAAGGCTTAAGTCTGACATGGTTATTTTGTTAATTGTTACTAATTCTTTTTTATCTTATCCAGCCTATTTTATTTTTCATAAAAAATCGTACAATTTTTGTTTAAAAAGTTTTTCCCCATCTGCAATAGTTATCGAGATAGCTTAAAGAGAATAAAACTTTAAGGGGAATTCACCCCTTAAGCCTGAGCCATGTTGATAAAAAAAATATGGGTCTCTTATTTTTAGCTACTGTATAAATACGCCAAGTTTCGTCGAAATCGTAGACACACATCGCAGATGTTTCTTGTCAATAGTATTCAGAGAGATTATTAAAATTTTTATCTTAATATAATACGATGATGATAAATAAATAACCTCTTACATCCAAACAGCACAATAGCAAGTTAATTGAACTTTATTTTTAATTAATATGATTCAATAAATGAACAAATGCATTTTTTTATTCTTTAATAACACAAGAGAACACACATAGCAAGTTAGATAGATTTTTTTTCTATTTACTAACAAGAAATAAAAATAAAAGAATTAATATGGGATAATCTCTATATGAAATAATTAATAATAATTTCTTAATATACACATGTAGGCACCACACGTGCACTGTATACAATATATAATATATTTATATTAGGATTAAAGTATACAACTAATTGCATATCGCAGAATAATGTTTTATATGTAATATATATGTATATGTATATATATACAATATTTGACATGTCAAACAATTCACAAATAGATTTTTTCTCCCTTCGTTTACATACACATATATTTGTTTCAATCTTCATATCTTTATATTGGCTTTATTCCGGATTCCATTCTTTGAGAATCAACAGGTAACAAAGGCATGGATTGTGAAAAGTTTAAATTTACATGAAACAGATTTCGAGCGTGCTATATATATGTATATTAACTAATGTTATGCACTTCCTTAGTAGAACATTTTACTTTTTACAATCAAAATTTTATAATATAGAACAGTATAAAACGACAATGTTTTTTCAGCAACAGCAGCAACATTGCTTTCATCGCGAGCATTTTGTCATACTGGGATGATGAAAAATATGTCTGTTTACGACTGTTGATGATATTGCAGTATGGTGTGTGTATGTGTGTGTGTGTGTGTGTGTATGTGTAATATAGAATGTCTGTGATCATAATATAATTGATGAAAGTGTAAACTTTCTAAAAAAAAAATGCAAAATAAATATTTTCAGGGAGAAAAATTATATTTAATATTTTAATTAACATACACAAGTATCCGACAGTCAAATTAACATATAGTGCTCTAATATTCAAAATCATTGTTCTCAAAGCTAATGACTATTTAAAAATTTATTCTATCAACTATGCTTTTTTTTTATACAATGAATTATCTTTGCCGGATATCTTACCATTTATTAAACGCCAAGAATGATTCAATTAGTTATTATTGCCAAAATGAAGAATTCATATATATTCATATATATATATATACATACAGAGTGTCCCATTTTAATGTCCCACCCCAAATAACTCTTCAGTATTGAAGTTTCAAGGAAAATGATCTGAATAAAAGTTATACAGATTTAAGTGAGCTACCTTATGATCACCTTAACTTTGACCTTGAACTCTATTTTTAAGGTCATTCGAAGGTCAACTTACGTTTTTTAAATGGGAACCTTTATTTTTTATTACACTGTTTTTTCTATTAGTTAATATGAACAACTTTTGTCTAAAACATTTTTTATTTGTCTAATATTTTTTGAGATATTTGAGAAACTTGGTAACTTTTTCAATATTTAACTTACGATATCTCGCTAACTATTTGTCGGAAGAAAAAGTGGTATTAGACTTTTTTCCTTTATTTAGTCTCAAGAATATATTCTTACAATAACGCCTTAATTTTTGTTAACTTACTGATTTTTGGAAATTTCAAAATCATCAAATTAACAAAAATCAGGGTGCTATTGTAACAATATATTCTTGAGACTAAATAAAGCAAGAAAATCTAGTACCACTTTTTCTTCCGACAAATAATTAGTGAGATATCATAAGTTAAATATTGAAAAAGTTATCAAGTTTTCCTCAAATATCTCGAAAAATATTAGACAAATAAAAAAACGTTTTAAACAAAAGTTACTCAAATTAATTAGTAGCAAAAACAATATAATAAAAAATAAGGATTCCCGTTTAAAAAACGCAAGATCTTCAAATGATCTTGAAAATAGAGGGCAAGGTCAAAGTTAAAGTCATCATAAGGTAGCATAAGGTAGCTCACTTAAATCCCTACAACTTTTATTCAGATCATTTTCCTTGAAACTTCAATACTGAAGAATATTTGGGGTGGGACATTAAAATGGGACACCCTGTGTGTATATATATATATATATATATACGCAAATAAATTGCGACATGTATATATTTAAAAATACACAAGGTGACTACCCCATTACTTAATCTATTATCACTCTCGTGTCCATTCTCATGTTAAGAAAAGCATATTGTCTCTTGAGCATATATCATACAACTCATGCTTGGAAGATTGTTATTAAGCAATGCATACATACTCTTGTATATAAAATTTTATTTTATGATATTGTTCATTTAGTTTGACTGTTCATTAAACTTAAAAGAAAATAAGATACAACTTGTATCACACAATAATCAACATATTTTATATTTATATTATATATATACAGGGTGGCCCACATAACTCTTAACAGCTGAATATTTCGAAAACTATTTGTCAAATCAAAAAGTTGTTCACGAGAAAGTTTTATGTATTCGAGGGGCCTTTCTAACTACATAAATATTAAGTTACTCCCTGCCCTCCTTAAAGGGGGGCAGGAGGTAACTTCACAATTTCAAACAGGACCCCCTATAAAATGTTAGATGGTTGGGCTCTACGGTAAAAAACAAGTTAATTTTGTCTAAAATATTTTTTTATTTGTCTAATATATTTTTAGATATTTGAGGAAAACTTGATAATTTTTTCAATATTTAACTTACGATATCTCGCTAATTATTTGTCGGAAGAAAAAATGGTACTAGACTTTCTTGCTTTATTTAGTCTCAAGAATATATTGTTACAATAGCGCCCCGACTTTTGTTATTTTACTGAATTTTAGAAATTTCAAAATCATCAAATTAACAAAAATCGGGGCGCTATTGTAAAAATATATTCTTGAGACTAAATGAAGCAAGAAAGTCTAGTACCACTTTTTTTTCCGACAAATAATTAGCGAGATATCGTAAGTTAAATATTGAAAAAGTTATCAAGTTTTCCTCAAATATCTCGAAAAATATTAGACAAATAAAAAAACATTTTAGACAAAATTAACTTGTTTTTTACCGTAGAGCCCAACCATCTAACATTTTATAGGGGATCCCATTTGAAATTGCGAAGTTACCTCCTGCCCCCCTTTAAGGAGGGCAGGGAGTAACTTAATATTTATGCAGTTAGAAAGGCCCCTCGAATACATAAAACTTTCTCGTGAACAACTTTTTGATTTGACAAATAGTTTCCGAAATATTCAACTGTTAAGAGCTATGTAGACCTCCCTGTATAATATATATATATATATATACACATACAAATTAATTCTAAATAAAAGTGTAATTTTTTTTGCTCAAGGTGTTTTTTGTGTTTACATTATAAATTATTTAAAAAATGCTTCCCCTATTTTTACATAAGCGTAGCTTTCTCATGCTCTTAATCGTTATTTATAGACTGATTGAATGGATTAATATGGGGCAGCCTTTATAAGTATATATATCTGTTTAATATTTATAAAATCTTTGTGTAGCACATGACACTACTGTATGAGGGACTTCTGTATCAGAATTATAAAATGAGCATTGCCTGTATAAAACATTTAGAATACGGTAACACCAGATGTTTTGCAAAATATACTATTGGTTAGTATTTGATTAGTAAATTCTCCATTCAGGAATATTTATACTGGTTGACATTATACTCGTACTTAACAACATATAACTTGCTGAACAATTTTGGAACCATATTTTTTCATGGTTCAATCTTTTTCTTCTCCTATTATAATTTGTTCAATAATCAATTAGAGTTACAAATCGCGTTGGCTCTTTCAATTGTGTATATATGTTGTATGCGCGCGCGCGTGCGCGTGCGTGTGTGTGTGGGTGTGTGTATGTGTGTGCGTGTGTGTTCCAAATATTTACAATTTTACTAGAAAGTTTTTAAACGTCTCGCTGTTTTTCTTGTTAAAAACAAATTTCCCGGCGCAATAAAGGAAATATTTCTCCTTCCTTTTCTGTACTAAATTAATTCTTTCACATTATATTCTTTGTATTTCGGCCATATCTGACCTTGTTTACCTAATCTGAATTGTAACCGAGCAGTAATGAAATTATATCCTGAAACTTAATCACTTTCTGGACCATCTTCTTTCTCACCTTCACCATCTCCTTCCTCTCGTGTCATGCCCTCGATCGGAGCTGTAGTATCCTCCACATTCGTAATATTACTTGTTGGCAGTTGATCAGGAGCAATAGGTGATACTGACGGTGGACCATTCTGAGCAATACCTTGCGGAAACCCTGTTTCAGCTGATACTAAATGTGATGGCATATGCGGCGAAGCTGTTTGCGATTTTCTACTCTTCTCACCTTTTCTCCATAATGTTATTTCCTTAATGATAAAACATATAATAAAATAACATAACGATGAAATAAAGATAAAAGATTACCGATTAATAATAATAATAATAATTAACGATTAATGTTTTAGTAATGATTCTAAAATTGTTTCAAGAAAAAAATTATAAACGACCTACTTGCTGTTTAAAATATCGACGATCTTCTTCGTCCATGAGAACCAGATTCAAATAATATCTAACACTAAACTTTTTATTAATGTCGCGCATTGTAGGTGCCAAATCATACCCAGCAAGGAATACTCTTATAGGAATGGATTCTCCTCGAACAGGTGCACCATCCATGATCTCATACTTTGCTATAGTTTCATTCTCAGTGAATGTATGAGGACCTGCAAATATGTATTCTGATTATTACTTTAGTATCACATGAATACTGAGCAAAAAATACACTTATAGAACCAAAAATTGCATTCCAATATTACACATGCAATTTCACATGCGTTTAAAACTGCAAAAATTATAATTTGAATATTATTTATTATACTGAATACAAATATATAGGTTATTTATAGCATACCAGAACCAGTAGTTTCACGTTTGATAATTGCTATTTCCATATGTTTTATTTTAATTCTAACCAAAAGAAAATATATTTTGCCAACAATTACATCTTTCAAATGATATCTGAAAAAAAAAAAAAATAAGTTATCATAAAATAAACTTATCCAGGAGCTTAAAAATAAGATAAAAATATATGTAACTTACTTGCTTTTATTATATTCAAATTCAATATGCAGGCAGTCTTCAATTCCAACTTCCATCTTAATGGGATTATTCATATCTGGATAGGAACTAAGCGTATGAACAACTAATTCAAGTTCTTTAACAATATCACTAAGTCTTCGTACAATTGTCACTTTCAAGAAATATCTTAGTCGCACGTTAGATCCAGTATAACTCTCAAATGGTTTTTCAACATTCGGAAATTCAAATGTGTGTATTGTATTATGTGTTAATTCTCCCGGCCTTGCCAATTCTTTCACCAGACTAGTAAATTCATGATGGTTACCTCTGTCATAATATAGTTCAATTTGTCCAATAAATTCTACTTTAACACCCTGATGCTCCAATTTACCAGCTTTTCTTAAACTGATATTAATCTGGAAACATTAATTTAATATAAAAAGTATATTAGATAAACAAAATAATAAATAACATAAGAAAAATATAAATTAATAACTAGTATAAAATATAATCCATTTGGATCTTTGAAGCTACTAGAATGCTTTAGGGGATAAAGTATTTAATAAATCATATTTATATATACATAATACTAAGCTTAGAGATATATTAAAATTAATTTTTATCAGAAATTAGAATTATATATAATATTGTACATGCACATGCACACGCACACACATATACACAATTATTTTTCTATGTATAAATATTTTTATTTTTTACTACAAGTTCATTCATGAGCAAAATGTGAAGTAGCATACTATAAATGATAAGTAAATTTACAACATAAAGGGCTGGTTGTTCCAACTTCATAAGTTGACTGATTGTTAAATCATATATTTATCTTTATTTTTCCTTTAACTTAGACAAAGGCAGACATATGATTTAACTATCAGTTAACTTACCAAGGAATTGGAATAACTTGCCCATAGATATCAAAATGAAATTTATAGAATAAAGTTACAGTTTGTGGAGCATTAAAAAAATTATATGCAATTTTCATGTAAATATTTCATGCAAATATATTAATGTTTCAAATTTATTTAATTATAATCTTTACAAACTATGATCAGAACGACAACTTGATACTAGAATCGATTTCAAAAAATGAGTCCTACCTTGCCAGACACAGTTTCACCATCATAATACAACAAGTGTCGTTCCTTCTTGCCATCTTCAGATTTAATATCTGCAGTTTTCCTGGTTTCCGCACCGTCTAATGTAATCTCTATGTCAGCAGACTGACCAAAACCGAAGAAACTCTGCAGCAGAAAATAATTGGTATAATTCATTTGTAAACTACAGTGTAAGATAACTTCGAATTACGGTAGACTATCTGTTTCTCGAGTAAACGCACCATTTTCCAGGTAAAAGGAAATATCTTTTGTGCGGGAGATGAAAGATCTCGGCGTGAAGCCGCAGTCGCGCTAAGATAATATCGATGTAGTAAAAGTCAATGGGCAATTCTCCAGGGCAACATTTTCTTTCACGCAGAAAGATACAAGGAAAGTTGGGTTATTTCTTACTCGTCCCTTCTAAATCACAAGTAGCCAATATGGCGCACACCACACCCCCCCACCCTTATGCCGTGGACTGTCAAATTACTGATGGCGTACGCAGCGGTCAAAGGTTTAGGCCCCTTGCACAATGCCAGGCAACAAGCAATAAGAATAAAAATAGACCAATCACAATCAACTATTACAAAAATAATCTATTGTGATTGGTCTATTTTTATTCTTATTGCCTGTTGCCTGGCATTGTGCAAGGGGCTTTACGCTCCACATTAAAGATGCGTTTTCTTCAACGCCGAAAGTGTATAAAGCCAGCGGCACATGGTACTTGTTTTTGTGCTGGATTGCTTGCTGGATGAAAATACTGCGTTCTGATTGGTGCATTTCCATCCATCTTCGGAAATGCACTAATCAGAACGCAGTATTTTCATCCAGCAAGCAATCCAGCATGAAAACAAGCACCGTGTGCCACTGGTTTAATGAAGGGATTTAGGCTGGGTCTACAATAGATGTAATAAGTTTTTAGCTTTTTGGTCTAAGCTTTACCAATCGCTTCCCATTTCATTTCCTTCATGTTCCCAGATAGCCAAACCTGCGTGAGCAAATTTCGTACAAAGCCTGCTATTATAAGGTTTGTTTTCTTTGCTTACACTTTTTACACTCAATTTCTAGTGAGTTCTTAGTGAGCAGAGAAAGTGTAAAGACCTATTTAGTGATTTGTATCTGTAGCGGGATTCTGTAACTCGTTATAATTATAACGATACATGACGTTACGGTAACAATACCGACTTTCGTTGTGTGTAACGAGATATTGATACCGACTATACGATTCTCTAACTCAGAATAGCGACACTCTGACGTTACAGAATGTGGTAACGAAACGTCGTTATTTAATGTTGTCGTTATGCGTGGAAGAAAAGAGAAAATGACGTATACATGTCAAGTTTTAGGGGAAAATTCGTAGGTTGGTATTTCACGTGGAAAAGGTTATGGATAAATCAGTTGATTTGAAACTTATTATGAAGATCCTGGGCCGCACAGACTCACAAGGACAATTCAGACGAGTGAAAATAGAGTTCCTGGGCAAACAAAATCGACAAATTATCAAAACATGAAAGGTCCGGTACGTGAAGGTGATCTCTTAACCTTGTTTGAATCTGAGTTTGAGGCGAGAAGATTCTAATAACCAGAGCAGCAATTTTGATTGACGTAGAAAAAATCATTGCCAGGTAATTTGAATTTGACAAGGTTATTGTCTTGAACAATACTCGAAAGATCTTAGCTGTCACTTATTATTTATTAAAAAGTTATTAACAAAAGAAGTTTTGTTTGACTGTTATTTGATTTTTCCTTTTTTAATAAAATAAGTAGCAAGAAGGTTAGAGATAACTACAGCAAAGTATAAAAGTGCAAGAGAGTTATGAAAATATTTTATTGTTAATTGTATAAAAGACAAGAAACTTGGATGAAACCAATTGCTAGATTATCTAAGTCTCTTGTACTTTGTTGTAATTACCACAAATCTCGTTATTAAATTGTGTATTTATTTTTTTATAAATATAATTTTACATAAATTAATTATAAATTAATTTAAAAATATTATTTCATGACAGCAGCATTTTAATAAGTCTGTTCGTTTTAGCTGTACTACTGAATCGATACTATAAGTTACAGTGAGACAAATATAAGTTTATATATAAGTTTATATATAAGTGATATATCTTATTGTAATAACTTAAGTGCAATGATTTCTATATCGCAGTAAGTATGCAAAATTTTAATAAAATAAATCAATTTCAGGTATAATCTATTACACGTATGCTAATAATTTTTTTTTTTCAGACAAAATGGAACAGGGATTAAGAAGAGGCAGGCGAAAGCAATGTCAGCACAAATAGATTATATGGTGGACTATTTTGTACAGCATCCACATGTAGCAACACGCAAATTCCAAACTCTACACGGGAACGCAGATTTAAGAGGATCATGGGAGCAATTAGTCGCTCACTTAAATACTATGGGAAGAAATGGAAAGTCAAAAGATATAAAGTCATGGAAATCGGTAAGTCAATAATATTTAAAATATTATGTGTAACATGCCAGCAAACACAATGTTAGATGTAACGTACATGTTAGTTGTAATTTCCTACTCAACAATATAATTGTTATATGACATATATGTTATATAACAGTTATATTGTTGAGTAGGAAATTACAACTAACATATATTATACGTTATATCTAATATTGTGTTTGCTGGGATGTAACTACGTTGGATGTATTTTCGTAATAAATTCTTTAGACATGCCAAGATAATAAAACGGCAGTTTCCCAAAAAGTTGCTAAAATCCGTGCTAATAAAGTTACGACAGGGAACATTGGTGGTCCTCCTATCACACTGACGGATCGAGAAAAAAGATTTTAGGCCTTATAGGACTAGATTATGTGGAAGGTGTGCAATGTCCTCATTCATTTCCAGAGGAACAGGTAGTGAAAAAGTTTTAAATATAACTGTAATCATTTTTCTAATATAAAATATATCTAATATAGAACATTTTTATTAAAATATATTTAGAAACTTCTTATTTCATCATACTTAATAAATTTGAAATCTTTTTTTTTGTTTGTGATGCACATAAAAATAATATTGAGTACATGTTTATTAAACAGTATTTGCTTTTTAAATGTTTATTTCAGGGAGAAGCAATGCATTTGCTTACCGTAGGGGACGAAAGAATTTTAAATGATATTCCAGAGTCATTAACATTAAGAAATAACGAGATTGTAGAACATGACGTTAATTATACAGGTAACATTTTTTCTGAATACATTGTAAATGTCACGATAAATTATATGAATGTGTTAATCAATATTGCTCTGAAAATGTATAAATGCAGCACTCCTTACACTTTTTTATTCCAGATTATGAAGTGCTACATGATATGGGAAATGTTATTGAAGAAGGGTCATCTTTCAATAATATTCAAACACACTCACAAATTCAAAATGTGGAGACTGCAGAATGTCGTCGTGAAATAATAGAACCACCATCCGCTATTCAAACTGATGATCCACAACGACTCACAACTGTAACGCAAAGTTCGAGCAAGAAGCGAAAAAGACCACAAATTACAAGGAATAAGTATTGCTATTGATATATACCTATTTCTTTATAACTCAGTTTATATACGTAATAAGCTCAGTTTATATACGTAATATTTTCTTTCTTTGTAAGACAGTGAACGGTTAGGTACACAACTGCACAATGCCAGATAAGATTTTGCGATCCTAGCTGAACGCCAAATTTCATGTATGGAGGTAAGATCTATCTGTCATTCTCAGAATATAATTTCTTTGGAAGAAACGTGTTATTAACTCAATGCTTTAAACGTACTTTTTTTTTGTTTATTTTTACAGATGTTTGCAAAGGCAATGCAACAAATTGCGGATAATGAAAAAGAGCGAAATGAATGTTTACGTGCCTTTATAGAAGCAGAAAGAAGTAGAGAGACAACATATTCCGAATTATTAATAATAATCAAAGATTGTATTGAAATATTAAAAAAAAATCTTTCACATAACTAGTCCGTATTTTGCTCAGTATTTTATTCTTTTCTTTTAATTTACTATTATTTTTTCTTTATTACATTTATAGTTTATAGACAATAAGGGTTTTAGTTTAAGGACAATAAAGTTTTTATACTGTTTGCAGAAAGATGTTTATTTCAATAATATAAAATTTTGATATGAAAATAATGCTTTAATATATTTAATATTATATAAAACTATTTTATATAAAACATTGTATAAGATAATGTAAAATTTTAATATAATATATTTTTTTTAACTTTAATATACATGTTCTTTTTTTCGTTAAAATTGTTATCCTTTACGCACACATATTTATATAAATATTTGTAATTGAATTCAGACGATGAAACATTTATTCTGAGTCACAAAATGTTTATGGCTTCGAAAGCCATTCGGAATCAATATTCTCATTTAAAGCGTCAAACAATAGAGGATAAGTAAAAAAAAACATTTAATCATTTTCAGCACGCTCTTCATCTTGTGCATCTCGATAATTAGGAAATCTTTTTCTCATAATTTGGCGTTGTATTCTTTGAGCTAAAGCGCGCGGTCCTCTTTGATGTAGATTTTCGTTATCAATGAGCCCTATTATCTATTTTCATATTCACCATTATCAGCAGCTATTGGTGCTTCCAATTCTTCAACAGGCAAACGGTGTTGAATTCTTATATTATGCAGTACTGCACATGCATTAACTATTTTTGCAGCAAATGCTGGCCTATACATCAACACACGCTGATAGGAAAGACATCTCCATACAGATTTGAAGACACCAAAAAAACGTTCAACAACGTTTCTTGCCTTACAGAGCTGTTGCGTATAATGAAATTATCGGGTATTTTCAGGAAAATCGACCAATGGTGTCATGAGCCACGGTTCCAAAGGGTATCCAGCATCGCCTGATGAAAAATATTAATATTGTTACGAATATTGTAAGATTTAAAAAAAAGAGAGATCGTCTATTTCTCTATTCTATTATCTTTCTGTCTCTCTTCTTCTTGATCCTCTTCCTTAGTTTGTAAAAGAGGGATGTTCAGGATGTTAAGGTTCCGAGCGATTAATGTGATTCTTATTATTCTCTTCTTATTATGAACAAGAATATAAGTATGTATATTTTAAATGAACAATAATACAATAGTATCCGACACCGCAACTTATATCAAATATATCTCTTTACAAAGCTTAACGCTCTACGACTCTTTCTTCGACTTGACTCTATTTCTATTATTCGTCTCGACGTTAATTGGCAAAAAGCTAAAGGCGAAAAGCCAAAGGCAAAAATCTACGTCTTTCTCCGAGCGTCTCCTTTTATCCTTTTCTCCATCCGTCGAATCTGATCTCTTAGGACCGGTCTTTCTCTCGTGGCTTCCCCCGGAATAGACTGGTGCTGTCCTCCTTCGTCTGTATCTTACAATATACTGAATATTTCGGGAAATAAATAAAAGGTTAAAACTACATGAAATCTTAATTATTCAAAAACAATGAAAAAATCTTGTTTACACCAAACGTTATTTAGTATTATACGACCGACGTGTGACGGTCGAACAAGGCGTCGATGTGAGCACACGGCTGTCACACAGAATATTCAGTATTTATAAAAATATACAAGATCTTATTAGTTTTTTATTTTCTTTTGCAAAGTTCTTCGAAGTCCTTATTTTCATAAGGACTGAAGGTTCATAAGGACTAAAGGTTCACTCACCGATCAGCCAAGTTTTCCGTTCTCCTCGATTATAATGAAATTCCATTGCTCGACGAATTGGTGATGTACTCCAGATGTATGAGTCGTTACGTGCATCTGGATATCGTGGATTGATATTAAGCAGCTTCATATCTGGATCAACAATCTGAAAGTATAATTAAATAATGCTACAATTAGACAAACGTTTTGCAGGAAAACCAATTTATGTATTGGTTACAATACTTCCTAAGTGATTAAACTTACCGCTTGTACGTTCAAAGAATGGCGACCGTGATGATTAATGAACGCCTCTTCATTTTCATGAGGGGCTATAATATGAATAAAAGTACAGTCTATGGCAGCGATAGCATCTTCAAATGGGTAAGTAGCAGCGGAGAATTTTGCACGCGCTTGCTGTCGATCTTCTTCGTTCATCGGGAAATTTACCCATCTACGCAGCAAGCGCCGATAAATCGCTTCAGTTACGGCATGGAGGCAACGGCTTGTTGTTGATTGGCTAACAATCCATTGGAATTGATTGCCAACGCTTCTTTGATAGCTGCCTTGCGCATAAAATTGTATGGCTATCAACACCTGTATTTAATGTTTCAAGATTATGTTTCAATATTATAAATTAAATATTATAAATTATTATAGTTTTGTTCCAATGTTACCTTTATTTCTGGCACTAAGCCAGTAAGTCGTTTATTCTGTAAATCAACCCTTAATGCAGTTGCAATGTTGATTACCAGTTCAGGAGTAAGGCGAAAATAGTCGATGAATTCATCTCGTGGGATGTGAAAAGGATTTTGAGCATCTCTCAGCCGCCTTCTTGCCACACGCCGTTCTAGTCGACGCACTCTTTCAACCACTAATCCTAATTCCCACACCAAATACTCAAGGGCCATGTCCTCTTCAAATAAATCAATTTTTAATATACATAAGCTTAAATGCCAAATATGTCGATTTTATGGAAATAAAAATTCTTACGAGTATATAAATAAAAAAATCGAAAGGAGAAGAGCAAATTCATATTAACTTAATACAACGTTCAAAACATTATATAAGAATTAAGATGTAAATATACATTACTTTCTGAAAACCAATTATTATAAACAACGTCAATTTTTACTCACCGAATTCCTTAAATGTTAATTTTTCTTTTAATATATGTTTACGATGTATACACGTGAAGACCTTCTTAAATGAACACACTCATCACTTCGACACTTCAGACGCTTCTAAAGATTTTTAACCTTTAACTTATGGTTTGTTCTTTTTAGCTGCTGAATTGGTGCAATAAGTTAGAGTGAGGAAAATGTACTTGCCTCACTCTAACTTATTACACCAGATCAGCAGTACAGTTAAAATGAATAGACCACTACTGTCGTTATGTGATCGTTACGCGTACCGAGGGGTATCGAACCATGCGTTATGATAGCGGCATATAACGACATCATACCGACGATTTTCGTTATGAATAGCGACAATAGTTGTTACCATTCGCGTACAGAATTGCATTTGACGTTATAGTGTTGTAACGTTATACAACGAACCGACAATTGTCGTTATGAGCACATAACGACGGCATAACGAGTTACAGAATCGCAGCACTGTGGTGCGATTCTGTAACTCGTTATTGGAGTTAACGACACTTTCGTTATCGTTGCGCAGCTTCTGAATACCGTAGAAAAGCTGCGCAACGATAACGAAACTGTCGTTAACTCCAATAACGAGTTAAAGAATTGCACCACTGTGCTGCGATTCTGTAACTTGTTATTGGAGTTAACGACAGTTTCGTTATTGTTGCGCAGCTTCTGTATACCGTAGAAAAGCTTTTTTTTTTGGTCACGCAGGGGAAATCCATCATGGATACCCCCTCCCCTTGGGGGGGAGGCGATTATGTCGGACTCTTACCGACTAAAACCCCTGCAGGATGTCTACCTGTCGGACCGTGAGGAGGGGAGTCGGGGGAACTACTCCCGTATTCCCTCCCCAACCCCCCGGCCCCAGGGCTCCCTTCCGGGAGCCCCTCCGCCACCTGTGTACCGCGCCCTGTTCCATGAAGGGCACGGTCCCCGACGAGGGTTACCCCCCGCCGGTTGGCCTTCTGGTATCCCCTGTCAAGGAGGGAGAGGACATCCACCCCCCCTCCTTACCCCCTCCCTGCTAGTCAGGGTGGGGAGGATTTGTAGGGGAGCGGGCCCGGCCCCAACCGGGGCACTGTCCCCCCTGTCCCTACTTGTCCGGTCGCTTGGGGAGGAAGGCAGGGAAGGCGTCTCGCCACCCCCCTACTCCCCCCTTGCGACCGGTGGCGGGCCCGGGGCGGTCGAGGGGACTCCCGACCCTCGCGGGTCTGTTAGCCCTCCTCTGCCGGCGCTGCCCCGGGCCCGCTGTCGCGTCCCTCGTCCCCGTGGGGGCGCTGACCGCCCGGGAGCTGCTCCCCGCAACCCCGGTACAGTCTTCGTCCCTACTCGGCGATCTCCTTCTGAGACATTACTGTCTCGCAGAAGGAGACCGCCGCTGACACGCCTCCTCGCTCCCGCACATGGTGAAAGCCATGTGCCTCGGCCTGGAGCCTCAGACCCCTCAGGGCCCTGGCCGACACTCTTCCCTCCCTGCGGAGCTCCTTCACCCTCCAATACAGGAGGTGGCGCTCCTCTGCCAGGAGCTCCACAGGGGGAACGCCGGCCAGGATGGTCGCCGCCATGTACGACACGGTCCGGTACCCCCGAATCGCCCTGATTAACACGGGCCGCAGGGCCTGCCGCAGTGCGCGCTTGCCGCCGCGGCTGGCCCCTAGCTGTGGCGCCCAAATGGGCGCCCCGTACAGGACGATCGAGAGCACCGCTGTGACGTACAGGCGGCGAGCCCTCCATCCTGGGCCCCCTTGGATGCGCGTCAGGCTGGCAACAGCCAGACCCGCCTTGCGCACCCTGGGGGCCAATTCCCCAAAGTGGGGTCCGAAGCTCCAACGACTGTCCAGCGTCAGGCCGAGATAACGCATCGTCGGCCCGACGCAGACGTGGACTCCATCTACGAGAACCCGGGTCCCCAGCGGCGCCCTGCGACCCTTGCCGTGAAAAAACACGGCTTGGGTCTTGTTGGGCGCCACCTTGAGACCCAGGTCTCTGATGGTACTCACCACCGACACCAATGCCGTCTCCGCAAGGAGGCGGACATCCCCCCAGCTCTCCCCCCCGGCTACCACTAACGTGTCGTCTGCATAGCAGACAACGTGGCAACCGGGGAGAAGCGGAGTGCGCAGCACCCGGTCGAACGCGATGTTCCATAGTAGGGGGCCGAGAACCGACCTCTGCGGAACACCGCGCTCCATAGCGCGCAGGCCCTGGACCCGGCCCTCCACCAAGGCGAGGTCCCTGCCTCCGAAATAGGTCGAAATTATGCGCCGGAGATAGGCAGGCACCCCATGGTGTTCGAGGGCCCGCCCAATCTCCGGCCAGGGCAGGATGTTGAAGGCGTTCGTTATATCTAACGAAACCGCCAACAACACCCCGCCCTCCTCCACGACCGCCCTCAGGTCCCGGAAGCATTGGATAGCATCCAACGTCGATCTTCCGGGCCTGAACCCGTATTGGCGGTCGTGGAGAACCGGCCCCTCCGAGGACAGATGCTGGACGAGGCGGTCGGCAATGATGCGCTCCAGCATCTTGCCCGCCTCGTCCAGCAGGCATATCGGCCTATAGGCCGACGCACTCCCGGGTGCTTTGCCCTCCTTGGGGAGGAGGACTAATCTGGCCCTCCTCCACTCTGGGGGGAATACCCCCTCCTTCAGACACCCGCTAAATACCCTGCGCGTGGCTTCGGACAGGCTTCCCTCGCCGAGGGCGATGGCCCAGGCCCGACCAGGTATCCCGTCGGGGCCAGGGGCTTTCCCCTTGGTCCCGAGCCTTTTCCTGGCCGCGGTGAGCTCCTCTGGACTCACCGCCAGGTCCTCGTCCCAGTCATCCTCCCCCAACAGGGGGGTCGGAATCTCGGGGGGGCCCCCTTCTGCCCTCGGAAAGGGGGCATCCAGGAGCTCCTCGAGGGCCTGGCGGTCTAACACCTCCGTTGGTGAGGGCGCCCATGGTCGGATCTTTCCCATGACCCTTTTATATGGGCGTCCCCACGGATCGTCGTCCAGGGAGCTCACCATCCGCTCCCAGGCCGCTCGCTTGGCCTCGACGATGGCGACCTTGAGGGCTTTCCTGGCACTCAGGTAGCCCTCTTTTGCCCCTGCAGCATCCCCGCCTCGTTGCCGGGCCCGATAGTACTCGCGTCTGGCGCGGACGGAGGAGCCCCGGAGAGCCTCCAGCTCCTCCGTCCACCAGTACATGGCCCGGCGCCGGCGGGGGTGGGATTGGGGCATCGCCACGTCGCATGCCGACGTCACGATGCCCACTATTTCCCCAGCCCCATCCGCGGGGCTGGGGTCCCACTCACCTGGCCCCACGTCTAGGTGCCAGGTGGCCGCAAGGACGGCAGCCCGAAACCTGTCCGAATCCAGTCGATTAAGAGCCCATCTTCTGGGGAGGGGAAAATTCCCCTCCCCTGGGCAGCGGGTCAGCACCTGTGCAGGTTTGGGGAGACGTAGGGCCCACGCTATATGTCTGTGATCAGACAGCGATTCGCGCTCCGCCTCCACCCTCCATTCCTGGAACATCCTGGTGGCCGAAGGGGTGGCCCAGGTCAAATCTATGACCGACCCCCCCCCCCGGTCGCACACAGGTGCTGGTTGAGCCCCTGTTCATCAACAGGAGGTCCAGCCCCGCTGCCCAGCCGATCACGGATTCGCCCCGAGGGTCCCTTTGCCGGGGACTGCAACCCCACCCTTCCGAGTGGGCGTTGAAGTCCCCGGCAATCACGACAGGTCGGGGATGGCACCTACGCACCAATTCCCCGATCCTGTCGAGGATCCTCTTCACTGGGGCGAGCTCCCCGCGACCGGCCTTATTTCTGCGGTGGGGGAGATACACCCTCACCACAGTGATGGGCCCCCAATCGACTGCCACGTACGAGGACCCACTCTCCCTGAAAGAACAGGGAGGGGTCCTCGTCGCAGGGTTCGTCACCATGGCCACCGAGCCGTCCAGGCTGCCGTATCAGTTAGCACTGGTTACCCAGTACGGCTCGGCGACCACCCCCATTTCGGCGTCCAGCTCAGCCATTCTCTGTAAACAGAGATCCTGAGCCCGGGCGCCGTGGCCGAGGTTGGCCTGTAGGGCCCGGAGCAGAGTGAAGGCTAAGCCTTCCCGGTCCCGCAGGAGGAGGCTTCGGCCTCGGTGGCTTCCGATGCAGGTGTCTCCACGGAGACTTGGGGGTCCCTACCTCTTTCCTCCTCTCGGGGGTACGAGGGGGAATCAACCTGAAGGGGAGTCAGGGGCAGCTCCCACCGACTCCCCTTTCTCTACGACGTTGGGGGTGGGCCCGAGGGTTCCACCCTTCTTACCTTTGTCCCTTGGACCTCCGTATTGTCCTCGATCGTGCCGTCCTCCTCCTCCCCTCTCCTCTTCCTTCGGGGTAGGGGTTTCTCTGACTCCCAGTCAAAGTCAATGAGGTTTAGGGTGCTGGAGTCCTTCCCTGCCACTCCTTCCTCCTGAGTGAGCGGCGTCGGGCCCGTCCAGACCTCCTTATCCCTCAGTGGGTAGGAGATTGTACCAGCCTCCTCCCTGGGCAGCGTTGAGTTCCGAGATTCCTCGACAGTTACAGTTCGGGCCTCTGCCCCGTCTTGGTCCCTCTTCCTCTGCTCTTCCTCTCCTTTCCTCTCCTTCTTCCTTCCCTTTCTTCTTCCTCCTGGAGGGGGTTTGGCCGTAGAAAAGCTGCGCAACAATAACGAAACTGTCGTTAACTCCAATAACGAGTTACAGAATCGCAGCACTGGGGTGCGATTCTGTAACTCGTTATTGGAGTTAACGACATCGTCGATGACTTTCGTCATCGTTGCGCAGCAAACGTATATCGTAGAAAAGCTGCGCAACGATAACGAAAGTGTTGTTAACTCTAATAACGAGTTACAAAATCGCACCACTGGAGCGCTATTCTGTACACGTGTACCGACAATTGTCGGTGTCGTTAACGCTCCCTACCGACATTTGTCGGTTAGAGCTATTCTGTACAGCTCCTCACCGACGCGCGTCGTTAAAAATGAACGACAAGTATCGGTCGTAAATGATAATCCTACCGAGGGGTCCCTTGGCCATCGGTAGTGCTTGACCGACGCACACGGACGAGATTATCATCGGTTTATGTGATTATGTTAGTGAATTTGCGATTTGAGGTAGTGATACTGCACACATTGCGATTTCACATATTTATAAAATTTTTGTTTAGTTTATTACGTTTCTGTTGGTATAAAATATAATAGTGTGTGTGTGCTGTAAATTGTAACCCAAAAATGTGTAAGTAAGTAAATTTAATTAAATTCTCATAAAATTTAGTCAGTGGAGTTAACTGTAAGATTTAAAAAAAGAGAGATCGTCTATTTCTCTATTCTATTATCTTTCTGTCTCTCTTCTTCTTGATCCTCTTCCTTAGTTTGTAAAAGAGGGATGTTCAGGATGTTAAGGTTCCGAGCGATTAATGTGAACTCTTCTTATTATGAATAAGAATATAAGTATGTATATTTTAAATGAACAATAATACAATAGTATCCGACACCGCAACTTATATCAAATATATCTCTTTACAAAGCTTAACGCTCTACGACTCTTTCTTCGACTTGACTCTAATTTCTATTATTCGTCTCGACGTTAATTGGCAAAAAGCTAAAGGCGAAAAGTCAAAGGCAAAAAGCCCCGTCTTTCTCCGTGCGTCTCCTTTTATCCTTTTCTCCATCCGTCGAATCTCATCTCTTAGGACCGGTCTTTCTCCCGTGGCTCCCCCCCGGAATAGACTGGTGCTGTCCTCCCTCGTCTGTATCTTACAACTCGGCCATCCTGCTTCAGCTGCGTCCCGCGGTTGGTGCTGACCAAGCTTATATAAGGGCGGCTAACTTCGCGTCGGCCCTTCTTCGCCTACGTCGCTCGCGAGTTCCTTAATCTACGGGTTATCCTACGTTTACTTCGCTCGCTCGTTCATTCGGTAACAGTGAATTTTCGTCCGAAATTTTAATCCATGGTTTAATCTTATCTACTGATAGAATAGTATCTAAAGCTCGTGCTCGGTGATTGAAACCAGGTATATCTCGTACGACATAGCGGTTGTATCCTAATACTTTAGCTATTCGATAAGGTCCTTTATAACTTGCGTTCAGCTTTGAACTTTGTCCGATTTTCCTACGACTGTCTCTAATTACGACTAAATCTCCTATCTTGTACCGCGACGGTTTTCTGTGTCGTTTATCGCAGTATCTCTTATTGTACGCTTTTACGACTTCGTTGGCTTGTTGTGCCAGCATTCGCGCTTCGTTTCGTTCGTCATTGACGTCGGTCATTTCTTTCACCCATTCACAAGTAAATTGTACGAGCGCCGCGTCCACGTGACTACGTTTGTCGTAACCTAGCAGTGACTTGGATGGGAAACACTTAATGGACGCATGGTACGTGTTGTTGATGACGTATTGCGCGTGTCTTAGTTCTTCTTCCCATTCTTCGGATATACTACTACTTTTTGTTAACACGGCTTTCAGGAAACAGTTCGTGCGCTCAACCATGCCATTCGCCCATGGCGATGCTACTGCTACTTTGCGATGCTTAATACGCTGTTCGTTAATAAATTCTTTAAATTCGGTCGACGTAAAAGCCGTTCCTCGATCGCTGACTACTTCGTTTGGATTCCCGAATGTACAAAAAATAGAACGTAGCCGTTCGATCACTTCTTTCGATCCGGTGGATCGAGTGGGAAAAAGCCACGTAAACCTTGTGAACGCATCTACTACTACTAAAATATGTTTATTACCCTGCTTTGTCGACGCTAACGGCCCGAAGTGGTCAATGTGCAAGACTTCCATTGGATTCCGCGATACTGTTTCTACATGCAGTTCCTCTTCTTTATTTCGTGGTGAGTTATTCGTCATTAGACAAGTGATACAATTTTCTATATGATCTTTTACTGTTTTTCTTAGCGATGGGAACCAATAATTCTGAGTAATTCCCTGCACTGTCTTTTCGATTCCGCAATGTCCCATTTGATCATGATAGATCCTAATCACACTTACCGTCATCGTCTGTGGTATCACGAATTTTAGTCTTTCATCCTGTTTCCTATACAACAATCCGTCTACCAACGCGAACTTGGTATCATCCTCGAATTCTAACCGTCTACAAATCGCTTGAAGCTGGGGATCGGCCAGCTGCCTAAACTCCAGCTCTCTTTCTAATGGCATTTCATCTACATACCCTGCATTTCGACTCAAGGCATCTACGTGAGCCATCTTTTTACCCGACCGGTGAGTCAATTTAAAATTATAATTTTGTAAAGCTAATGTCCACCGTGCTATTCGTGGATTTAAATTGGCTTTGTTTACAGCATATACCAAGGCATTACAATCAGTGACTACGGTGAAACTTTTTCCGTATACATAAACGTGGAACCGTTCAACCGCTCTAACCACCGCTAACATTTCAAGTTCGAAGCTATGATACTTGGCCTCAGCCTGATTCGTCGTTTTGCTGTAAAAAGCAATGGGTGCCCACACCCCGTCTTTTTGTCGCAGTAATAATATCACGCCCAGCCCCTGGATGCAAGCATCGGTATGGATCTCCGTTTCCGCCGCTGGATCATACAACCGCAGAGTTGGAAACGATGTAAGCTCTGTTCTTAAAATATTAAAGGCTTCTCGACAATGTGGACTGAAGTCAAATACCGCGCCTTTCTTTAGTAGGTCTTGTAGAGGCCTAGCCTTTAACGCGAAATCTTTTATAAATCTTCGGAAGTACCCGGTCAATCCTAAAAACTGTTGCACCTGATGCGTTGATCGCGGTTCTCTAAACTTTGTATTGGGTGAGTGCAAAAGTTCGTGCGGAGTTTGTGAGTAAAAGTCACACAGTGATTAGGCAAACAAAAATCTTTATTCAATCAATGATATATTCTCCATCGTTTTCTATAATTTGTTCCCAACGTTCTGGCAGCATACGGATGCCTCGATCATAAAAACTGCGCGGTTTAGATTCGAAGAACGAAGAGACGCCGTTTTTTAAGGCTTCCAAAGAGTCAAAGTTTTTTCCATTTAAATAATTTTGCAATGACCGGAACAAGTGATAGTCAGATGGTGCGATATCAGGAGAATACGGTGGATGCGTTAAGACATCCCATTTCAGGCTCTTCAGTTTGCGCAGCGTCTTTTTCGAAACGTGTGGTCTGGCGTTGTCGTGATGAAAGACGACTCCCTTGCGATTTGACAAAATCGGACGTTTCTCTTTTATTTCTCGATTCAGATTGGTTAATTGGCGACAGTACTTGTCCGAATCAATCGTTTCGCCAGCGGGGAGAAGCTCGAAATAGATTATGCCCTTGCAATCCCACCAAACAGAGAGCATCACCTTCATCGGGTGCAAACTGGCCTTTGGCATTGCGTCACCATGCTCACCTGATTGTTTCCATGTCCGTTTGCGCTGAACATTGTTGTAGAGGACCCATTTCTCATCGCCCGTCACTAGTCGATCCAAAAACGACTCGTTATTGAGCCGCCCGAGTAAAGAAACGGCTGCAGAAATTCGCTTGATTTTGTTCTTCTCGGTCAGCAAATGGGGCACCCATATATCGAGCTTCAAATCGAATCCCATCTTTTTTAAACGCCGAAAAGCGGTTGATCGGTCAACGTTTAGTGCTGTAGCAACTTCTTCTGTTGAAATTCGCGGATTATTGAGCACTAAAGTACGCAAAACATCGTCAACAATGTCAGAAGGTCGACCAGAGCGTGGCTCGTCTTCAAGGTTAAATTCTCCGCGCCGAAATTTAGCAAACCATTTTTCCACAGTTCGTTTAGCTGGTGCTTCATCCTGATAAACATCCTGAATGTTTTTTACGGCTGCGGCAACGTTTATTCCCTTCCGAAACTCGTAAAGCATAACATGCCGTAAATGCACCTTATCGATACTCATTTTTAAAGTGATATTTCTCGAAGCAGTTTGTATGAAAACAAATGATTTTTTTTTTAATAACAGCTGAAGACGTCACCTTTCCAACGTTATATAATATGTAGATGGAAGTATTAATGACAACACTTTACGACGCTTATAACTCTATCTATTGAAACTCCGCACGAACTTTTGCACTCACCCAATAATTGCCTCGACATGTCGTTGATTCAAGGTAATACCGTTCGCTCTCACGATATAACCCAAAAATTCGATTTCTTTTCGCAAAAACAAGCACTTGTCGTAGTTAAGCTCGAATTTATATTGTTTTAAAGTAATTAACACTTCTCCAATTACTTCTAAGTGTTCGGCTATGTTATCTGATGCGATCAAAATATCGTCAATATATACAATAATCTTTCCGTCATTAATTAACGGTCTCAGGATCTGCAATAACCTCTTTTGAAATTCGGCCGGTGCTTCGCTATAGCCAAAGGGTAATCTTTTATATTCATACTGGCCATCTGGTGTGCCAAAAGCAAAGTATTTTGTGTCGCGCTCATCGATTTTTATATGATGGAAACCGTCTTTTATATCCAACAATGTAAATATGGATTTATTCGCCAGTTTTGCTAAGCAATCTTCGATTAGCGGGAAAGTGTATTTTTGTTTTTCTACACGACTATTTAAAGGTCGTAGATCGACACATAACCGCATGCTACCGTTTCTCTTTTTCACCGGTACAATCCTAGCACAATAAGGCGATATGCTTGGTTTGATAATGTCCCGTGCTAATAGATTGTTAATAATATTTTTGACCTCGTCGCGCTCAGCGAACGCAAACCGACGCGGGGCATACGCGTATATCGATTTATCTTTCAAGGGTACACGTATCGCGTGCCCGTCTTCGATTGCCTCGATCTCTTTATTGTCCATCGATAACAATAGACTTAGCAACATTTCTTTTGTCTGTCTATTATAATCTATTTTGATATCGTCTAGTCTATCGTTAACGGTTTTATCTATGCCCTCCTCGATACACAAAGGCAATTGTTCGAACAGACAAACTCGCTCTACTTTTTCACTTCGCGGTCTGAAGACAAAAGAGATTCTTTCTTTGTATAGAAAATCGCGTCCTAATATTATTTCTCCTTGGAAAGATTGTCTCGATAATACAAAGAGATCGACATCATATTCTATGTTTTTTGTTGGCTCGAGTTTTAGCTGTACTTGCGTTGATCCTAAAATAGCTAACGGCTGCGCGTTTAAATTGTATAATTTTGTTCCGACCGGTTTTAACGTCGGTATATACATTTTGTATAATTTTTCGTTAATAAACGATACTGGACTGCCTGTATCTATTAGCGCTTTAATCTGGCATCGCTTACCCATTATAGTTGCGACCGATATAAAGGGCTCGCTGACTCGCAGTTCCTGTTCCTGCTCCGGCGCTACCTCCTGCTCCTGCACCACGGCAACCGGTTGTCTCGGGGCATCATCTCCTGCCGCTCGACGTCCTCCTGCATAGGCTGGCGTCCTTACTGGAACAACAGCTCCTTCCCTTCGCTTCAAGACTGGACACTCGAACTGCCGGTGCCCTTTTTCTTTACAGTAGAAGCGCGTCGGCTCACTCCGACATTCCTTGTGGGGATGTCCTTTTCTGTTACAATTTCGGCATTTTATTTCTCTAGAACGTGCAATATTCGACCCGATCGGCGCTTTCCTTTCTGTCTCGATCACGCCCTCCGCGATTCGTTTCATCTTGGTCAAAAAGTCTTCGATCGTCTCCGCCGATAATGACAAGGCTGTAGCTCTCAGCGCGCTCACCGCTATTCCGCTTATCAATAATTGTATCTTATTTTGGACAGATAATTCTGCTCGCTGCATCAGCGCTAATTTGTCCAGGGCGTACTGATCAAATGTTTCTTTTGCCGCGTTCCATTTTCGATTCTCTATTTTATTTATAATTTTATAGAAGGGAATTTCTCGATCGAAAATTTTAAGCAATTCTTCTCTTACCCTTCTCCATGTTTGCAGCATCGGTTCGTATTGTGCGTCATACCATTTCCTGGCTGCACCCGTCAACCTCACCGTTGCTGCAAGCAGTGTCACACCATCTGTCGCTCCATGTATAGCCGCTACACAGTCGACTCGTTGTATTCAGATTTTAGCGTTCTCCTCTTCGGTTCCACCAAACTCCGGAATCTGCGACGTTAAGGTAGAAACCGAGATTTGCGATTGTTGCATTTCTATGGGGTTTTGACCCGTCACCACGCCGTCACTTCCCGACGGTGTAGAATTTTGCGTCGATCTTCCTCCGCCTTGGTGCTCAGTCGGAAGACCGGCTTCTGGTCTCCTGTTGGATAGCACTAGAAGCAACCGTTCAAACTGATTTTGTTGTTGCAGCATAAATTGTTGTTGCTGTTCCTGCATTAAGCGCTGCATCTTGGCCAAACTGTCCGTGACTTGACCAATCATATTCTGTGAGGACCCTTCCGTCTGCTGCTCCATTCTTTGTTCCTCGGCTGAGGTCACCGCAGCCGATCGGTCTTTTCCCATTCGGGAGCTCTCCTCTGGTTCAAGAAGGTCTCTCATCGGCCCGTGTCGCTCTAGATGGGACATCATTTGTTCTATCATCCGTTCACGGTCGTTCGATACCGGCAATCGGAATTTTACTGCTTCCTCCTGCAGCTGCTTCAGCGTCATTCCATCCAGCACATTCCTGTTCATTTTTCCGACTCTTAATTGCTGTTCTTTAAACTGTAATTGCGTAATTGGCATGAGCTGTATCCCACTTCTGAAAGAAATTGCGGCTGTAAGATTTAAAAAAAGAGAGATCGTCTATTTCTCTATTCTATTATCTTCCTGTCTCTCTTCTTCTTGATCCTCTTCCTTAGTTTGTAAAAGAGGGATGTTCAGGATGTTAAGGTTCCGAGCGATTAATGTGAACTCTTCTTATTATGAACAAGAATATAAGTATGTATATTTTAAATGAACAATAATACAATAGTATCCGACACCGCAACTTATATCAAATATATCTCTTTACAAAGCTTAACGCTCTACGACTCTTTCTTCGACTTGACTCTAATTTCTATTATTCGTCTCGACGTTAATTGGCAAAAAGCTAAAGGCGAAAAGCCAAAGGCAAAAAGCCCCGTCTTTCTCCGTGCGTCTCCTTTTATCCTTTTCTCCATCCGTCGAATCTGATCTCTTAGGACCGGTCTTTCTCCCGTGGCTCCCCCCCGGAATAGACTGATGCTGTCCTCCCTCGTCTGTATCTTACATAACCTTCAATTCGTACTGCGGTCTTTACACGGCAGCAGGAAATAAAAAATAGTATTAGAATAGTATATAATATGTACAAAACCTTATCCTTTTACCCTAAGTAATGAATGTACAATCTATTATTGTTCATAACTTAGGTTAAAAATATATCCTAAAATATATTAAGGACGAAAATAGCGCTACGAACTGAAGGTTAACAAGTGATATTAATTAGAGTTTTTCTTTCGCATCTTTTGCGTAATTCTTTTAACTCATTTACACGTCGAAAAGAATAAATTTGTCTATACTTATAGGGTAACGGTCAATTACTGCCAGTGTTCCAATTACTGCCATTTTCTTTAATTGTAGTATTACAATAAAAAATATGAGCATTATACCCAGTAAACACAATGTTACATGTAACATTGTAACTGGATAGTTACACTAATATATCCTAGTAGATTTAATGGGATATATTTAAAATATTTTAATATTAAACCAAGATTTTAAATATATAACGCTGTCATATTGTTAAATATATAACGCTGTCAATATTTTTTATTTTAATATTATAATTAAAGAAAATGGCAGTAATTAGGACACTGGCAGTAATTGGGACCGTTACTCTAGTGTTTTATTTATATTGTCAGCAAAATTAGAAAACCTAACTCCAATTTTTTATGAAATTGAAATATTCCCAGCAAACACAATGTTACATGTAACGTACATATTAGTTGTAATTTCCTACTCAATAATATAATAATAATGTTATATGACACATGTGTTATAACAGTTACATTGTTGAGTAGGAAATTACAACTAACATGTACGTTACATGCAACATTGTATTTGCTGGGTTCATTTCATCCAACTTATCTTATTAAGTTGAATGAAATGAAAATCTCAAATTCGTTAAAAATTGGAATTAGGAGGTTTTCTAATTTTGCTGACGATATGTTATATCCAATAATATAATAATATAATTGTTAAATCCAATAATATTTAATATGAATTTAGTATGGCTGAATACCTCATGTGGGATCTTTTACACCTTGAGAATCGCGTGAGAATGCTACAACGTCGAATAGAAAGAAGAGTCTGGCGTGATACTAATGATCCATTCGAGTTACACGATAATGTTTTCATTAATTTATTTCGCTTGCCACCTGACACTGTGTTGGAATTAGCAAAGATCTTAAGACCAAGGTTACAATGATTACGGCCATATGGAATTTCAGTACAGCGTCAAGTATATGCACATATATTTTATGTGTGTGATTTAATATGAAATTATTACTATTATTTCTATATGTTCAACAAATATTGTTTAATAGGTATTAATAGCTTTAAGATTTTATGCTGTTGGCTGCTACCAAAGTGCCATTGGGGAACAATGGAATCTGGCTGTCAGTCAATCGACTGTAAGCCGTTGTGTAGCAGCCGTGACAAATGGAATAAACGACCTATTACTATGACCATGGGTAAAATTTCCTATTACAGCGGAGGATCGACAAGCTGCAAGAGAAAAGTTCCGCACAGCACAACATCCGTTTATAAGTGCTATCGGTGCAATAGATTGCACTTATGTATCGATTCTGGCACCGCAACTTCACGAAGAAGCCTACGTCAATCACTGGGGTGATCACTGTCTCAATGTTCAAGCGGTATATATAAATAAATAAATAGTATAAATGTTAAAATTGGGATAACAACAATTTTAATTTTATATATATATGATATTTTTTTGCAGATTTGTGACCCTGATTTAAAAATTCTAAACATTAATGCTCGATATCCTGGGGTACGACATGATGCATATATTTGGGCAAATTGTGCTACTCGTCGTGTCATGGAACGATGGTATATGCAAGGAGAACGCAAGACTTGGCTTATCGGTAATACTATTATTTTTCTCTTATTAAATACTAGGTAAAATATTTCTTCAAAAACTTGTAAAATGTAAAATGGTTGTAAATAATTATTGTTATAAAATTATTATTATATTTAAAACAACTGCTTATTAAATATATTCATCATATTGAAAATGTAAAATAAGTAAACTGAATCTAAAGTAAAGTAAAATCGAAGTGTTATTTTCACAGGTGATGATGGGTATGGACTGGAGCCGTGGTTAATGACTCCATTGAAACACGAGCAGCCAGGAACTCCACGTTTTAATTATAATGAAGAATTATGCAGTACCCGCTCTTGTATAGAACGCCTGACTGGAGTTTTGAAGAGCGAATTTAGATGCCTTTCAGCGCAAAAGCAACTAATGTACGAACCAGGATTAGCTGGAAGAATTGTTAACGCTTGTGCGGTTTTGCACAATATGCGTATCCACCATCGAATATATGATATAGACGTCGACCCAGCAGAGGTGGAAGCCCATCGTGTAGCTAATATGCCTAATCCTGCAGTAGAAATAGATCATGGCGAGTTTCTGCAAGGTCGTGCACTTGCCACACGTATCCAAGACAGTTTTATCGCTCAACGGTAGACTATAAGAAGATTTTGTAATGAAAAACTACAAATTATTATCAATATAAACTTTTTGTATTACTTAATATTAATATTGTAACCTTTTATATTACCTTGTAAATAAATTTTTTCTTAGTCACGTTTAAAAATAATTACATAAGATAATGACATGTGTGTGTGTGTGTGCGCGCGTATGCACGTGCATGCGTGCGTGCTTACGTATGTAAGCATAGTGCGTACAATAAAATAAAATAAACAAATTGAATTAAAATACAGTAAAAACTGATAGACCCTCTTATTTTTCACAGAAATATTTTATATATTCAGATATATTCTTTAATAACTGCAAAGACATTTCTTCTGACCTCGCTCTTCTCTCTTCGATTGCGGCTCTTCTCTCTTCTACCGTCGCAAGTCGTTCAATAGATTCAGCTATTATCTATAATATTAATGTACTATTAATAAATAATTAATATTATCTACATACCCAGATAGCACAAAATCTGCAGAGAATATTCTTAGATTAGGATGTATGAATGTGCTTAGAACGTTCTTAGAACGTCCTTTGAAGATTTGTACTGGGTATCCAGGTAATATGTAAATAAGTGTAAATAAAGTATCTTGACAAAAATATGGACAATATAAAATATTCTTAAACAGGAAACTTTTAGCTTTACAATTTGCATAGTTTTTATCAACGAAATTAGTTTTTATATTTTTATAATTAAAAACAAAAAATGTTCTTCATCATTTTACTGAAACCTCGTTAATAATACATTGTATTTATCTATAATCATTAATATCCCACTTCATTATTCTCTTTTTATTCGGTTTTTAATTTCAGTTATTGTGTTCTATTGTTATTCATAATTGGGCATATCATTCATAATATTCTTGAAAAAGGGTTCACAAATTAAAGATAATTGAATTCTCTTCATTACAATAAATAATACTCGATTTTTAAGTAACAGCTACAAGTAATTTCACATTCTTTAAACATCTCACTTATATGAATATGAATATAATAAAATTTTGTATATATTTTTCTATATAGTTTTCTTTAATATCTAAAAATATAAAAATAATTAAGTAAACAAGTTATTTATAGGATTTCTTTTTACCTTCAATGCAGAGGCGTTACTTTGTGCTATGTTGGTGAATTGTTCACGCGCGTTTTCAAGCTGCACACTGATACATTGTCTGTTTTTTCCTATATAAAAGATTATATCGCAAATAACGTTGTACATTAATTTAATTTCATTCATGTATGAGTCTTACGATTGCTCGAAGCAGCGTCAGTTGTAGGGCATGTGATAGTGGATTTCCGCACACCGAGCTCTGCTGTTCTTTTTTTAGGATTTGGCTTCCTTTTTGTAGAAACTGGCAAACTTCTTGTTTCGGAATCAGCTTCAACTGCTACTGCAGCTGCAACAGTTATGACTGCATCTGGATAATCCAGTACGGCTTCTTCGACATCTTGTAATGTCAAATGCTCCTCTGTTTTTATTTAAAAATAAAAATAATACATAATTATAATTTATATGCTGATAGAAATCTAACTAAATATCTCTTTAAAAATATATAATGTCTCCACTTTATTAATTTCAATTGATATTACCATCAACAATGCTAGGAAATTTCTCTTTCAATCTTTCCTCGTTTGCGAAGATAGTATCTCGCAAAGTTAACGTCTGTGGAATTTGATAAAGGGGATCTTCATCATCCATCTCAAGTCGTTCAATATTTTCCTAGAACAAACAATTATTATAACGTAAATTGTTTCTTTATGTACGTATTATAATTATTTTAAATGATTAAAGAGATACATTGAACATATATACGTACATCTTCTTCCACGCAACTATTAGGACAATGCACATTTCCCTCAACATAATCTAAACCAATTGCAGACACTACGCGTTGTTCAATGTTCTGCAATGGGGCTTCTTCAGCTGGAAAATTGCCTGTGCGTAAGTGCTCAGCTCTTAACTTGCTTGCTTTCCTCGAAGAAACGCTCTTCAGATCCCGCCATACCTAAATATATTAAATATAATGTAATATGCAAATCCCAATCAAATGTATCCCAGTAAACTAGTCATATAACAGAAAAGCAATTATATAACATTGATATTAGAATGTCAGCTGAATAAGGGAGAACATTACATAAAATTTATTTAACATGTATCAAGATACTGGGATTTACTACGAAATGTATACATGTCCGGAAATCAAGGTGGGAAAGTAATTTAAAAAATCTCAATTATTTATATATAGCTTATCGCATTTGCATCATATCTGTTTGCTCTTAGTAAAAATGTCTGAAACATATATTGTGTAAATAGCTTAAAATATATCTTACAGTATGCCACAGCTTGACCGACTTCTTTGGCCCGGGTAGAGAATTTAGCCTTTTCACATTCACAGCACAGTTCATCCCACTGCATCTGCAGTTGCAGTTTCCTCTCATTTCCGTTAAACCGGCCGGCAGTGAAACGGCTATGCTTTTCCATATAGGATACCAAATCTTCAATTTGCAATGTTGATGCACGCGAAGAACGATGCTTTTTAACAGTACTACAAAAAATATTACTATTTATTGATAGTACAATTTTCTTATTAAGTTATCGAATAGTATTTATTAGTATACCCACACAGCACAGATGTTTAGGGGACGTCGTAAGGAGATTCTAAGGATGATCCAAAGGATGTCCCTATGTCCTACGTACATCCTTTGGATATTTTGTGCTGTGTAGGTAAATATTACATTATTATATATATATATATATATATAATAATGTAATATTTACCCACACAGCATATATATCAGGTGTAGTAAAAAGAAATCCATTATTTTTCCAATAGATGGCTCTAGTTATCTGTATCTCGCGTTGTATAAGTCCGATCGAGTTCTACTAGATGGCGTTAGAAAGATGAGATTTCGTACTAAAAAAACTTTTGTGACAGTTTTGTGATTAGTTGACTCAGTTTTGTTTGAGCGCGCGTCAAAGATGGACACTAGCAAAGAGAAAATACGCTATATTTTACAGTTTTTCTTCGATAAAGGCGAAAACGCAAGCCAGGCGGCTGAAAATGTGAATAGTGTTTATGGTCCTGATACTGTAACAGCCAATCACGCGCAATTTTGGTTTCGTCGATTCCGTTCCGGTAATTTCGATGTCAAAGATGCACCACGCACTGGAAGGCCAATTGTCGAAAATATCGATAAAATCATGGACATTGTCGAGTCCGACCGTCATGTAAGCACTGTTTCGATTGCCCAAGAGCTAAAGATTGCACAAAAACCGTTTGGAACCATTTGAATAAGGCTGGATACAAAAAGAAGCTCGATGTATGGGTGCCACACGAGTTAACGAAAAAAAGCTTCATGGACCGAATTTCCATCTACGAGTCACTGCTGAATCGCAACAAAATCGATCCATTTCTGAAGCGGTTGGTCACTGGTGATGAAAAGTGGATTACTTACGACAACGTCAAGCGAAAACGGTCGTGGTCGAATCGCGGTGAGCCGGTGGAAACGGTGGCCAAGCCAGGATTGACGGCCAGGAAGGTTTTTCTGTGTGTTTGGTGGGATTGGCAGGGAATTATCTACTATGAGCTGCTCCCCTACGGCAAAACTCTTAACTCGGAATTGTACTGTCAACAATTGGACCGTCTGAAGGAAGCAATCGCCCAGAAGCGGCCAGCTTTGGCCAATAGGAGAGGAATTGTGTTCCATCAGGACAACGCCAGGCCACACACATCGATAGTGACTCGCCAGAAGCTCCGGGAGCTTGGTTAGGAGGTTCTTATGCATCCACCTTATAGTCCGGATCTGGCACCAAGTGATTACCATCTGTTCCTGTCCATGGCGAACAATTTTTTTGGTGAAAATTTCGCTTCGAGAGAGGCTTGTGAAAATCGACTGTCTCAATTTTTTGCCAATAGGGACGAGGGCTTTTATGAGAGAAGCATAATGAAATTACCTTCAAAATGGCAACAAGTTATCGAACAAAACGGCGCATATTTGACTTAAATCGGATCATTCTAACTATGGTAATTAAAGCCTTCAATTTCATACAAAAATAATGGATTTCTTTTTACTACACCTGATATATATACGAGGGCGGTCCAATAAGTACTTAGCCTCACCGCCCGATGGCGCCACTATCGCAAGAGAAATTTACTATCGTGTAGTACATTCTCGTAGACGGCTACTGTCGAAATTTCAGCCGAATCGGACTCGTAGTTTTGTTTTGACCGCGTGTGGAAATGGGCGTGTCCGCGGATTTTAGAAAAATGAAAAAAGAGCAATATCGGTCGGTGATTCGATTCTTGTTTTTGGAAGGGAAATCGCGCAGCGAAATCAAAGAGCGCTTGGATGCTGTATACGGTGATTCTTCTCCTTCGATGGCGACCGTCAAAAATTGGTTTAACGAGTTTCAACGTGGTCGCACGTCGGTTTTTGATGAGCCACGCCCAGGTGCCCCGAAAACGGCTACCACGGAGGATAACATGACAAAAATCCACGATCTCGTATTGGCAGACCGCCGATTGAAGGTATGCGAGATAGCTGAGACAGTAGGCATCTCAAAAGACCGCGTGGATCATATCCTGCATGAAATTTTGGGCATGAGAAAACTGTCGGCGCGATGGGTGCCGCGTTTGCTCACTCCGGACAACAAGCGCAACCAAGCGTGAGACCACTTCAGAGCAGTGTTTGACGCTGTTTAAGCGCAATCCGAAGGAGTTTCTGCGTCGTTTCGTGACCGTCGACGAAACATGGATCCAATGGTACACACCAGAGACCAAGGAACAGTCGAAACAGTGGACTTCACCCGGCGAACGTGCTCCGAAGAAGGCGAAGACTGTCCTATCGGCCGGAAAGGTGATGGTCACCGTTTTCTGGGATTCACAAGGTGTGATCTACATCGACTACCTGGAGAAGGGCAAAACGGTCACAGGGCTGTACTATGCCGAATTATTGGGCCGATTCGACGCCGAATTGCAGAAAAACGGCCCCATTTGGCAAAGAAAAAAGTGCTCTTCCACCATGACAACGCACCGGCTCACACCTCCGCCCTCGCCACGGTCAAATTGGTCGAATTGGGCTACGAACTGCTGCCCCATCCACCGTATTCTCCAGATTTGGCCCCGTGCGACTTCTTTTTGTTTCCAAACTTGAAAAAGTTACTCGCCGTCACAGAAATTTGAGTCGAATGAGGAGGTCATCGCCGCCACGGAGGCCTACTTTGCAGACCTCGAGAAAACGTATTTTTCAGACGGGTTAAAGAAGTTGGAGCATCGCTGGGTCAAGTGTATCGAGCTAAAAGGAGACTATGTTGAGAAATAAATCGCCACTTTTCCAAAATTTGCGTTTTTCTTTTGTAGGCTAAGTACTTATCGGACCACCCTCGTATATATATATGAATAGCATTAAAAATATATATACATACCTACTTCTACTTTCTGACATAATGCTTTCTCTTGTATTTTCTCTATTTTTCTACACAACTCTATGAATACGATTATGTTTGTAAAACTTGAAAATCCCGGACTTTCTCATAGACTAGTTACGCGATTGGTCGAATTATTATAAATTACGATGTATTCTCACTTTTGTCCGTGACTGTCTCTCGACCATTTGTGATGTCAACCGACGATTGAAATTCGTCGGTTGACCGATGATTGTCGGTAGTGTCCATGTAGAGAATAGGTGTGCATCGTTCTTGTCGGTCATGCAACCGACGTTCGTCGGTAACGACCGATACCGACAATTGTCGGTAGACATGTACAGAATAGCGCTCCAGTGTTGCGATTCTGTAACTCGTTATTGGAGTTAACGACAGTTTCGTTATTGTTACGCAGCTTTTCTACGGTATACAAAAGCTGCGCAACGATAACGAAAGTGTCGTTAACTCCAATAACGAGTTACAGGATCGCATCACTGGTCGTTGCAAGCGACAGTCATCGGTACGACTTTATCGATAATGTACAGACAAGATCAAAAGATGAAGAAAAATTGTTTTCAGCCAATAGAATTAAAGCTCTAAAAGTATTAGCATGAAATTATTAGCAGCAAGGAATTCATCTATGTCACTACATACTATATGATAGTATTAGTTTTTTGTACGCCTCCGTGGCGGTTGGATGTGGTTCCCGTAACTACGCACATTTTTGATCGTGGGACGTGGGACTGCGTACGTGTTGTCCCTGTTTTCCTTTTACTTTCATAATCGTTGACTGGCGTAGGAGATAGAGTGTAACAGCTCTCCTCAGAGTCACTTATTGAATCAGAATTCGAAGTCGAATCAGAAGTTAGTATTGATAATAATATAGTGAGTGAAAGAATAGAACAAAATGAATTCAAAAGAAATGTAAGTGTATAAAAAATATAATAAGAAACGGAAAAAAAATAATATAGGATCAATTAAACGTTTTCTACTAATAATGATTCTATATTATAACTTTTCTGTGTTGATATATATGTGTTGATATTTTTAATATTGTTCTGTTGAAGAAAAGGATGGCAGCTACTTGTCGTTAAGGAACAAAATGAATATTAAAGCATGCTAATGAATATTAAAACATCTACTTCATTAACTTCTTATCAAATCATTCAACAGAAAATTGATGGTAAAAACAGAGTAAAAATCTGCTGTATATATATTTAAAATGCATGTTAGTAATTTCAATACATACTAATCAACAATAACATTACATCAATATTATTATTTTCCATTATTATTATTTTCCAATGTAAATGCGAAATAATATATATGTTATATTGCATTTACATTATTAAATAGGAAATGTTAACATTGATATTATTACTGTCGATTGGTGTTTACTTGATTACAAAACAATAAATTTTATTCTGTTTATATTGCCTGCAGATCTTGCAGTATTTTTAGTGGTATGTGGGTAAAAATTAGTATATATTAATAAAAAATTGTTTCAATTTATTGTGTTGGGATAATATTTGTATTTTTATCTTATTGTATATGTGTTATAGTTTTATGATACTTACGTATAATATGTATTTTTGTATAAAATTAAATTTCAATGTTTTTTTATTTAGTTTGAAGAAAAGCTGTTCGTAAAGACAACGACAGCTCAATATGAAGAATTGGTAAAATATATGGAGTCACATTTAGAATTTGCCACAAATAAGTATTTAACTAAAGATGGTAAAATCCATCACGCTTAACAATGGGAGCAGTTGGCAGAAATGCTTAATGCATTGTCTGCAGGCAATAAGAAAACATCGAAGCAGTGGCAGACAGTAAGTATTTGATCATAACATGTATTTCATGAAAATTCTTAATACATTAGTTTAGTTAATAATATATTAGTTAATACATTAGTTAAGTTAATACATTAGTTTAGTTAATAATATATCTTTAATTTTACTTACTTAATATTTTAGTACTAAGTAAACGCTACTATTAGTACTTTAATTTTATCTACAGATTCTCTGAGCAATTTAATACATTATATTTCATTTACATTGCTAGAGTGGGAATTAATAATAATATTAATATAATGTTATTGTTGATTAAGTTATAGTAATGTTGACATGATATTTGAAGAATATAATATTATTATCTATATTCATGTAATTTTTAGGTTTGGCGTGATTTAAAAAGTAATGCTTCAAAGAAAGCAGCAAAATTACGCTATGAAAGGAATCGGACAGGAAATTTTCCATTGAATTCAGAAAGTCTCGATAATTTGCAACAACGTATTGTTGCCTGTATGGGGCTACAATATGTTGAAGGTGCACATGATTGTCCGGACAGTACTCCGGAACAAGAGGTACATTCATATTTCTTTACTTATATAAGTAAATACTTTTGTATTACATTTTTTTTTGTAGATATGAAGTTAATTTTCACTACATTATATTGTACTTTCTGCATTTGGATTGAAGTAAGTATATATTTGAACACTGGAAAAAAAGTTCCAATGCAGTATTAAAGAACAAATGTATAGTACAATGTAATATATATAGTAATATACAGGGTGTTTGATAGCTGATCATGCAGACGAAAGTTGGAGATAGATTGGGTGCAGCCGAGAAAAAAAGTCATGTACCATAATGTCAAATTGGCAATAGTTACCGAGTTATTAATTAAAACATGTGAGCCAACGAGCGCGTAGAGAGCGGAGGGCGGCCGCAGTAAGCACGTAGATATTTGATACAGGCGGAGTCAGTGAGTGACGGTAGGCAAACGCGCGCGGCGAGGGGCAACGTAAGCGACAAGAGGCGATCGCGCGCGACGAGGAGCGAGCGAGCTTTTTCTTTATAGCTTTTTCCTTATAGCTCGCTCGCTCTTCGTCGCGCTCGCTCGTCTTTTGTCGCTTGCGCTCACTCGCTCCTCGTCGTTCGCGCTTGTTCGCTCCTCGTCGCGCGCGATCGCCTCTTATCGCATACGTTACCCCTCGTCGCGCGCGCTCGCCTACCGTCACTCGCTGACTCCGCCTGTATCAAATGTCTATGTGCTTACTGCGGTCGCCCTCCGCTCTCTACGCGCTCGTTGGCTCACATGTTTTAATTAATAACTCGATAACTATTGGCAATTTGACATTATGGTACATGACTTTTCTTCTCGACTACACTCAATCTATCTCCAACTTTCGTCTGCATGATCAGCTATCAAACACCCTGTATAAGTATTTTTAATGCTATTTAATGTATTTCCTTATAGGAATGTATTTTATATATATTTTTAGAAACATCAACTTCAACTAGGACATGGGAACGATGATGTTCTAAACATTCCACCAGAGACGACGTCTATAAGTGAAATTTTGAATATGGAAAAAAACGCAGATATCGGTAATGGTTCACTCACTCATTCTATTACACATGGATACTCTTTTTCTCGCACTTATACGCATGCACGCGCATTCACACATATACATATACGCACATACATACAATAAGAGATTATTACATATATATTTTATACTTAGCAAATATGAAATAATATTTATATAACAGTTTATTCCACTCAACAATGAAACTGTTATACAACATACGTGTTATATCGCATTTACATTGTTGAATAGGAAATTATAACTAATATTTATGGTACTATTATTTGATGTTTGCTGCATACTATTATATAATAATCTAATGACATATAAACTCAAGTTTATTATTATATTCTATATATTGCAAACTATATTTCTTCTTTATACATACGTGTTTAGATAACGTTTTTGAAATAATGGAGACTAATACAAGTAACGGAAACGATTTGACATATAATGATGTTATGCAATGTTTAAATAATGAAGACACTACAATGAAAAGGCCGACAGGCTTAAAAAAAGCAACATCAAAGAGACTGCAACAAAAAAAGAAGGAAATATAATAGTAAGTGTAAATTTATATAATGTGCAATATATATTTATATTTGTATATTCCACAGGAACTATATTCCAATGTGACACATTTGCTTCTAAAATGGTTGTAATATTTTGTTATGTATTTCAAAAAGATATTTTTTATTTTTTATTTACTTATTTTTGCAGAGAGAAGTAGTAAACGTATAAGCGTCGAGCTGCAACAAGCTCGAGAAAAATTTACAGAAATTGCTGAAAATCACGCTAGAGCTCTACAGGTAGCATTTTTATTATTGCATAAAGTATATTAAAACTAATCTTTTCTTGTGATGTAATTATAATTGTGACATTAGAAGCGATAAGATGCTCTAAATTCCAAAGTACGTTAAAATAAAGAAATATATCGCAAAAATAACAGATACTATTGATTAAGTACACTATAAAATATTACAAATGTTTTCTTTTTGCTCCAATAATCAATAAGTTACTATTAAATTAACGTTACAGAATGAGAAAAATGGGTTAAAAAGTATTGTATATCACGATAATTTTATGGCAATTTATTGTTAGAACAAAAGGAAATTGTTCGTAGTATTTAGTAAGTGTGCTTAGTTTATTACAAGTTGTAAATATATTTCTTTATCTCAATGTCGTGTACACAAATTTGGAGCATGCATTTTCTCCCTTCTAATTCCATTGCAACAAACATCAAGTAACAGTAACATAATTTAATTACAATTTTACACTTAACGTGAATGCAATATAACGTGCATGTTATGTAGCAATAACATTGTTTAGTAAGGGAAATTATAAGTAACAGTTATATAAGTGTTGCTTAATGTTTGTTAAATTAAATCAATATAATAATTGTTATTTAAACTTAGGATACTGAGATACTTTGATTTAAATTTAGAGTTCTTTAACTCGTCATAGTTTTAATATTGCATGTATTATATGATTTAAATAAAATATTTGAATTTGAAATCTGATTAATCTGAACTAAGACAAATTTCAAGTAATAATTAAGAGTAATCTAAAATATTAAAGTGAAAAGAAATAATTGTTAATTTCATAATAACTGATATTTTTTGTTACAGTTGTTTGCGGAGGCTTCAATAAAGCAAACTGATGCTGCAATGATGCAAGCAGAAAATGTACGTGTACAGAACACCTTGGAAGAAAAAAGATTTTTAATGGAGGAAAGAAGATTAGAAGTAGACGAAAAACTGATTACAACTTTAGATAATATGCATAAATTAATGGAAAAAATACTATTCAATTAATACGTCATAATCACATAATATAAGAACGTTTTTATATCTTTATAACTTATTATATGTTATGGTTAAAAATGTTACACACTTTATATTATAGATATATTGTTTATTTTAAAACTATAACATATAATATAATATATAATATATAATACAAATACAATATGTAATACAAAAGAATTTAAATAATAACTATGTACGTGTTTAGAGAAATAATTTTTTTATATTCTCCCATAATGCCGAGTAATAAAACTCTCCTGAATACGTATGGCAAGTGCCCGCCCTTGATATGCATAACCTCTGTCGTCATACTCCACAGCTCTATTTGGTCTGTTAACGTGATACAAGTTTTCATGCATTTCATTTAATTCTTCGTCTTGTATACGATGAGCAATCCTCATGTTGTGTAACACGGCACATGCGTTAATAATTTTACCAGCCATACCTGGCTCATACATTAAACGCTTCTGGGCAGATAAACACCTGAACACGGATTTCCAGACGCCAAATAGACGTTCCACGCACGATCTAGCGCTGCACAGATCCTCGTTATATTGAAACCTAGGTGTATTTGGTATTTCATGTTTTAGAGGTGTCATTAACCATGGCTCTAAGCTATATCCATCATCACCTGTTAATAATAATAAAATAATAAGATGATAATATATAATAAAATAATGAAATGTAATGAAATAATAAAAAATAATAAAATTAAAAAACTTTAAAATAACAAAATGCAAAGGTTCTAATGATATACAATCAAGTAAGGCTAATGACAGCCAGTTACGGCAATGATAGGAATATTTAAAACTTTTTGGGAAGATAATATTGTCTAACAATGTTAACATATGTATCGAATGTATTTTTCGATTTTAATTTACGCGGCGAATGAAAGTCTCATCATCAAACAGACCCTTTTATCCCAAATCATTCTTTAATTCGACATGAAAGACCAAAAGCTTTAATTATCACTATTTCGTGATTACGTTTAGCTTACCAATTAACCAAGTATTGCGTTCTCCATTATTATATCTTCGTTCCATTATACGTCGTATAGGAGAATTTGACCAAATATAAGTATCGTGTCGTGCACCTGGATATCGCGCATTTACATTCAATATTTTTAAATCAGGATCACAGATCTGAATAACATGAAAATATTTATTTCTTACATGTATATATCATATTTATATTTTAAAAAGGTATAGTATTTCATAAATGTCATTAAGCGTAATTAAAATGTCATTGAGTATAATTAAATATTATATTACATATATATATTATGTACATTTAAAATATAAACTACCAATAAAACCGAACTAAAATGTCCGTGAAATAATAATATTAAACAATTATGTCACTACATGGTACTTAAATTACATATACATTACTCGTAAGGAAAAATATTATTAATTAAAATTTTTACAAATACATTTATATAAAATAAATTAAAATTATGAGCAAAATATAAAATAAATTACAATCAAAAGTTTTATAATCTTAGAACTAAATTAAAAATATTAAAATTTTAAAACTTTTTACAAAAATTAAAGATATAACAATTAAAACTTTTAATAATTAAATTTTCACATAAGATGAAAATACTTACTAATTAAAATATTTATTTGATGTAGTACATACCATTTGAACGTTGAGAGTATGGTCACTCCAGTGATTCACGTATGCTTCTTCGTGCTCTTTTGGCCCTTTAATGTTTATATAAGTGCAATCGATGACTCCAATTGCACTATAAACGGTTGTGGAGCAATCCTAAACTTTTCCCGGGCGACTTGACGTTCGCCATCTGTCGTGGGGAATCGTACCCATTGTCGTAGATCATTTATTGCGTCAGTTACTTTTCGTATACAGCGGCAAACAGAAGGCTGGCTTATTGCAATATCCCATTGTTCTTCTATAGCACTTTGAAAACATCCAACAGCATAAAACCTTAAAGTGGCTAAAACCTATAAAAAATATTTATAAATTTGTAACAAATTAAAAAATATTATGCTTTTAAAAAATTATTTTTATTTTATCACTTGTGTTTTATATACAAAGCCTTCAAAATCACTATTTTTGGCAAAATAGTGAGCACATTTAAAAAAATTAATTTGTGTAAAGATGTAACATAAAGTATTCTATATACCTGACGTTCAGGACTAAGACCACCTGGTCGCTCATGTTCCAATCTTGGTCTTAATGTTTCAATTAAATCTATTACGATCTCTGGACTTAGTCTATATAACTTGAGAAATTCGATATTGCGGAGATCAAAAGGATCATGCAATTCTCTTCAATTCTTTCTCTCCATACGACGTTCTAAACGCCTCATGCGATGCTCCAAATATAAAATATCCCATGCTAGGAATCCTTCTGCCTTCATTTTGCAATGCTATAACAAAATATATATATTTCTTAAAACAAGAAATTCAGCTAAAATAACAATGATCTTTTAAGATTTCTTTTAAGATTTCTTTTAAGATTTTTCTTTATCTTTAAGATTTCATTTAGATTATATTAAAGAAAACACGCATAGTCAAAGTGCAGAAAATATATCAGAAATAGTAAAGTAAGTAATATCTGAAATATAATCTGACCCTTGTGTTAAGTGATTTCTATTCACTTTACCTATTCACTCATGAAGTAGTCAATACTCGACAAGACAATGGTAAAAAGATAGACATAATATTAATAAATATTTAAAAAGTTATATTAAATATTTTAAATATTATGTGCTGTCACAGAAGTTTTCTTCAAGTTTGATAAGCACTTATGTCTTTAAAATCATAAGTAGTTATTCGTGTCATGAAAATGTTTTTAATTTTAATTTTATACTAATAATTGCCTATTATTTGCCAGATAAAATTTTCTAAGTTTTGTTAAATAAAGCAATAACTTTGCATTATTGTATTATCATATATATTAGTATTTAACCTTCATAGATATGTTAATCGTTAATATTTGAATACTCATATATATATTTTAATAACAAGATCTATGTCGACTCTTACTTAACCTTTATTTAATACTATACTATACTATTTTATCTGTATAAAAAATAATATGTCACATACTTTAACCTAAGTAATAGCATTTGCATATCTTTTCCAAATGACTTAAAAAATAAAGAAAACATTGCACTTTAAATATATATATATATATGCATATGCGATATTTGCAATATATTTTTATTATATATTAGGTATATATATATAAAACAATATCTGGGAAATACTCACTTTTACAAGCTACAATCTTTATTCCTTTTTAGGTTTTGTTCTTCATTCTAAGCTTGCGTTTGTTTTAGGCGCCCACGCACTATAAGCCTACCGACAGCGAATTTCCGAACAAAACTGTAGTTAAAAAGAACATATATTTTCCTTCGAAATTTGTCGGTAGAACGTTTCCGTCACGTTAAATTTAACGAGATTTGTCGTATATTAACGATAAGTATCGTTAAACATTTGTCGTTAAGAGTGGTACAGAATCGCATTTATTCATATTTGTCGACCGACGCTGTTAACGACACCGACAACTGTCGGTAGGCATGTACAGAATAGCACCCCAGGGACGAGCCCGCGTTGCCGTCGTCGATCGGTCGCGCGACGAGATCATCGGCGATCAACGCGTTCGCCACTACCGCATCGTCGTCGTCTCCGCGCGACGGTGACTCATGGCTGAGGTCGTATGGTTGCGCTCTGTGGTGGAGTGCGTGCGCGAACTTATGGTAGACATATGGAACCTGTCGCCGATCATCTTCGATGAGCTGCAGAATATGGTATCGCAGATCGGGCGCAATCCCGAGATCACGCAATTGTACGAGCTGCTATTCGATAGAGATCGATGGCGCGAGGCGATCGAACCGTACGAACGACCGATTGTCGTGTCCACGATGTTCGGTACGATACAGTATTCTCAGCGACATGATCTGGACCGACAGGTGTACGATGTGCTGGTCGGACAATCGCTGACCGTGGCGTACAACACGTATCAATCGATCGCTACGAGCGATCGTCTGCGTGTGTGCTCGCATCTAGTCGGAACGTTGCAGCTAACTCGACGCATTAACGGGCTCGACGATCGCAGAATGGCGCGAACCGTCGAGTCGGTGCGACGAATGTTGAAGCGATGTTGCGCCAAGAGTCTGTGCGCGTTGACGCTGTCGCTACTGATGACGTTCGATCCCGCGAGCATACGGGAGTTCGGACGGTCTCACGCCGAAGCGATACTGCGAGGCGCGGAACACCTGGCCGACGGGGTGAAAAGATCGCAGGACGCGATTCGCGCGACCGCCGCAACTTCGTCGTCGCGCGATTCGTTTTCGCGCGATGACGATTTCGTATCGGCCGAGGAGAACGCGCCGGTCGTCGTCGCGACGTCGACGAGATCGCGCGCGTCGCCCGCGCGAACGAAACGTCCTCACGAGGCAACGGCGAGAACCGCGGAAACGACAACGACGAAACGCGAACGCTAACGAACGCGTCGACGAATCAGCGACTTGTCTCATTCGCGCCATCGCGCGACCGCACCGACACGATCGTCGGTGTCGCGTCGTCCACGCTGCCGCACAACCAACGCAGATACGGCACCACTCGTCGGTATTCGGGCGAGTGTTTCGCCGGCATGGAGTCGTTGTTGACGTACAGCGACAAGTAATCGCCGTAACGAACGCGGTCAGCGTCGCCGCATAGTCCGGCGGTGGGCGCCGCGCGAAATTCGAGATGCACGAACCCGTCGTCGCGCGACGTCGGGTCGCACTCGAGGTGTTCGGGCACTCGCAATCGAATCGCGTCGTTCTCGTCGTCACCGGCGAAACGCAGCGCGACGATGTTGGACGGTTCGACGGAGACGCTCATACATTAAGCGCCTCTGGGCAGATAAACACCTGAACACAGATTTCCAGACGCCAAATAGACGTTCCACGCACGATCTAGCGCTGCACAGATCCTCGTTATATTGAAACCTAGGTGTATTTGGTATTTCATGTTTTAGAGGTGTCATTAACCATGGCTCTAAGCTATATCCATCATCACCTGTTAATAATAATAAAATAATAAGATGATAATATATAATAAAATAATGAAATGTAATGAAATAATAAAAAATAATAAAATTAAAAAACTTTAAAATAACAAAATGCAAAGGTTCTAATGATATACAATCAAGTAAGGCTAATGACAGCCAGTTACGGCAATGATAGGAATATTTAAAACTTTTTGGGAAGATAATATTGTCTAACAATGTTAACATACGTATCGAATGTATTTTTCGATTTCAATTTACGCGGCGAATGAAAGTCTCATCATCAAACAGACCCTTTTATCCCAAATCATTCTTTAATTCGACATGAAAGACCAAAAGCTTTAATTATTACTATTTCGTAATTACGTTTAGCTTACCAATTAACCAAGTATTGCGTTCTCCATTATTATATCTTCGTTCCATTATATGTCGTATAGGAGAATTTGACCAAATATAAGCATCGTGTCGTGCACCTGGATATCACGCATTTACATTCAATATTTTTAAATCAGGATCACAGATCTGAATAACATGAAAATATTTATTTCTTACATGTATATATCATATTTATATTTTAAAAAGGTATAGTATTTTATAAATGTCATTAAGCGTAATTAAAATGTCATTGAGTATAATTAAATATTATATTACATATATATATTATGTACATTTAAAATATAAACTACCAATAAAACCGAACTAAAATGTCCGTGAAATGATAATATTAAACAATTATGTCACTACATGGTACTTAAATTACATATACATTACTCATAAGGAAAAATATTATTAATTAAAATTTTTATAAATACATTTATATAAAATAAATTAAAATTATGAGCAAAATATAAAATAAATTAAAATCAAAAGGAGTGAGTCCCAGATGCGCACAGAATAAAACGGACACAGCAGGTTGAATGAAACAGACACAGTGACAAACGGACACAGTAAGAAAAGGACACAGTAAGAAACGGACACAGTGACAACCGGACACAGTAACAAACGGACACAGTAGGAAACGGACACATGGTGGTTGCAATCGGACACAGTGACAATCGGACACAGTAGGAAACGGACACACGGTGGTTGCAATCGGACACCGTGAGAAACGGACACAGTAAGAAACGGACACAGTGAGAATCGGACACAGTAAAAAATGAACACAGTATCAAACGGACACAGTAGGAAACGGACACACCGTGGTTGCAATCGGACACAGTAAGAAACGGACACAGTGACATTCGGACACAGTAAAAAACGGACACAGTAGGAAACGGACACACGGTGGTTGCAATCGGACATAGTGAGAAACGGACATAGTAAGAAACGGACACAGTGACATTCGGACACAGTAACAAACGGACACAGTAGGAAACGGACACACGGTGGTTGCAATCGGACACAGTGAGAAACGGACACAGTGACAATCGGACACAGTAACAAACGGACACAGTAGGAAACGGACACACGGTGGTTGCAATCGGACACAGTGAGAAACGGACACAGTAAGAAACGGACACAGTGAGAATCGGACACAGAAAAATGGACACAACATGAAACGGACACAGCAGGAAACGGATACACTGTGGTTGCAATCGGAGACAGTAAGAAACGGACACAATGACAATTGGACACAGTAACAAACGGACACAATAGAAAACGGACACAGTAGGAAACGGACACAATAGGAAACGGGGTGCGAAAAAAGTAAAGAAAAAGTAAAATCTGATCGTACGTGCATTATTTATGTATTATTGCTGTGTATTATTGCTGAATCGACTCATCTTTTCATACTGTGCGGTCACTTCTGCACTTGTGCAGATTGTTCTAGTTAAATCATGCAAAATAGTGATGATGTTAAAACTTGTTCAATTTGCAAAGTACAAATTTCATCGGTGTACAAAATATATATGCCATAAACATGTCTTACTTTTATTTGAAGTGTATAAAAATATTTAGAATTGTCAGCATCTTTTTTAATACATATTCTTTATGACGTTTATCGCACACATATTCTAAGACAGTCGATTTGTTGCCAATATAGCAGTATTATATATGTTAAGCATTACGTACTGAAATGTGTTGTAGACTAAGGCTGTATGTAAGATTAGGTTGAAAGTACTTACTGCTAATTTCTCACAATACTTTAAGATGAATTATATAAAAATTACTTATATGCTAATATTCAAAGTTATTTTTTTTAATAATATGTATTACAAACATTTCCGAAACAATATGTGTTACATAATTACATAACAATTACATAACAAGCCAACAAAAGAACAGTAGGAAGCACGCATACTAAAATATAACGTATATCTTAAAATATATATGGTTATTTTTATCTGCAACGACTGCAAGGTTGACGTGCTTTCCGTTTTCGTGTAATCTGGAACATTATGTAAATGTTTCAATGTATAAATATTATATCTGTCGATAATGAGTAACGTTTCAATGTATACTTACTTTTGATGGAATAGTGTTTTCAATAAACGCTAATGGTTGCTGACTATTCTTAATATATTTTTCGCAGTCTTGACGTGTGAGCTTTATTAGAGTAATCCTAGGTTCTAATAGATTTATTGGGATATCTTTGGGATCTATAGTAACTTGTATTTTATCTTCACAATTGTTTCCAGTATTGTCTATCAAAGATATATTTGGAATATTTTCGTTTCCTGAAGCGTGATAAGGCAAGTTAATAAGAATGTAAGTCAGACATACATAATACAGTTAATACTAACTTTGCATATTTATATGTTGTTCATAACAAACAGTTTCAGGTAGTCCGACAAATAATTCCTCTTCATAATTTTTGTCACTTTCATTTTGCAAAGATATGTCTAATACATTTTCCTTTTCTAGAGCATGATAAAGATAGTTATCTTTTTAAAAAATAATTGTTAGTAAAATATAAAAATTATTGTTAATACTAACCTTGCATATGTACGTATTCTTGATGTAGAATGTTTTTAGATATTCCGATAAATATTCGCAAAAATTGTTCAATGGGTAACCTTGAAAAATATTTTAATATAACGTTATACATATATATATACATGTGTGTGTGCTTGTGTGTTCAACTAATGTTAGAGAATAATTCTTTTTTGACGGGGCCTAATATTCATCTTATACAGGATGCTAAATTTCAAGAGGTAACAGATAAAAAATTTTGAAAACTATGAAAGATATCGAAAAAACTAAAACACGTTTTCCATGATTTCGAAGGGGAAAGAGAATGGCATTATCAGTTTTTTATTTGGAGGGCATTTTCAAGGTCAGTTGAAGGTCAACTTAATTTTTTAAAATAGAAAGTCCAATTTTTTATTATATCTTCTTTTTATACCAATTAATTTTAACAACTTTTGTCTGAAACATTTCTTTATTTGCCTAATATTTTTTTAAATATTTGAGGAAAACTTTTTGAGGTAACTTTTTCAACATTTAACTTACGATATCTCGTTAACTATTCGTCGAAATAAAAAGTAGTATTAGACTTTTTTACTTTATTTACTATCAAGAATATAATACTATAATAGTGCCCTAACTTTTGTTAATTTAATAATTTGAAATTTCCAAAGGTCGATAAGTTAACAAAAGTTAGGGCATTATTACAGTATTATAACTTTTAAAAATAACTTTTAAAAAGATATTCTTTTTAAATATTGGATACTATTAATAAACGTGTTACATTTTTGCCATTAAAGAATACAAACATTTGTAGCGCCTCTGGGCCAGTTTTTTTATTTGCGTATCATCAGCTTCAATCCAATCAGATTTACCTTCTGTACATATACTTGTGTAATGGCCGCTTGCAATGCACGATCCATGATGAAATATGGCATTCATTACTCTATACAACTGTCCTGCTACTGATACTTTAGTTGTTGGGACAACAGGCAGAATAAATTTGTTTATACATATATGTATACAGGGTATCAGAAAAGTCTAAAAACGGTCAAATATCTCGAAAATAGAATATTTCTGAGAAAAATGTT